GTTTTTGGTTTTTCGTTTGTGGCTTTTTGATTGGGGAGTTGTTGTGTTCTTTCTGGTTGCTTTTTTGGGGCCATCTTGGTGGTTTTCTTTTTGGTTTTGTATTAGTTGGAATCAAAAGCTCATAGGTTTTCTCTTTAACTGCTGTATTTTTAGAGAGCTTATGATTTTATATGGACTTGTAACCTCTCCTTTTATTTAACAAGAAACAACTTTTTGGAAAAATAATAATAATAATAATAATAATAATAGAAAAGGTTGAGAATGCAATTAAATAAACTTCATAAAGACACTAAAGATCTATTTGGGATTGCTGTAATATTTTATAAAGTTACTATGGAAAAAGTAATTTTATTATTCAAGTTGTAAAAAATAATTTTCTATCACAAAAATTTATGAAAAATAGTGAGAAAGCAACACGTACAGACGAGCAGCAGCCAAATAAATTTATAATAAAAATAAAACAGCAAAAAAATTATCCCAAATAGGCTCGAAACTAATGCTTAACAAGGTGGTGTGAATTTCTAACCTGAGTATACGTTGATTTGGTTCTCCCGAATAATATTAAAGAATTCCTAGCTACTGCCTGAATTTTTTATGATTAAATTCATGCATCAAAAAGGAAAATTTAATATTATTTATTTATATTAAATCATACTATTCATAGAATTTTTATAAGAATTGAGTTGAATTGTAACTACCTAAGCAACCCAAATCTTGATCAAATTACGATCGAAATAAATTATATATATTTTTTAATTTTTAAGATTAATGGTACACAAAAATAATAATAATAATAATAGCTAGAATATTCTTTGCCATTTTTTCCCAATACCTGCTAAGCTACAGTTTTCTGCTTCATCGTAAAATACTTAGAAGATATTTTTAAAAAAAATAGGGAAAAGGGGAAGCATCAATAGTGGAGTGGTTCATTGCTGATGGTTAGGACTCTTAGAGATTAGATTTAGAGCTGATTTGGTTCAAGCTTAAGATCAAATCAAACTAAAGGTAATTTGTTTCAACTCCTTTTTTTATAAGATGACTCATTTAAGATGAAATTGAAATTATAATGTCAAACTAGAAAAAGATAAAACATGCAGGTCATCATGATCAGTTGGTTGGGAGCATTGTATATCAACTAGGATGTCTTGAATTTAAGTATTACGCATTTTTAGCCATTTTATGTAGGGGTGTCAATATTTGATATGATCTGAAAATCCGACACGAGTCCGACCCGAAAATTCCGGGTTTGGTCAACCTGGACCCGAAACGGTTCGGGTTCAACAACTTGACACATTTCAAAAATCAGGTCGAGTTCCAGTTGACCCAGAAACCTGAAATTGACCCATTTTTTACCCAAAACCCTTTTTTGACCTGAAAATTTGATATTGACCCGTTTTTTACACTGAAATTGGAAATTGACACATTTTTTGACCTAAAAACTTGTAATTTTCTGTCGGCCCTAGGTCATTCGGGTTGTGTAGGGTTGACCCGATTTGAAGCGGGCCTGGTTCGAGTCCAAAAACCTGGCCAGTTTGCAAAATTTGGTCATGCTTGTTCGGGTATGAATAGTGCCGGGTTAGTTTTGTGTTCAACATGAACCCAACCTATGATCCGAAATTGACGCCCCCTAACCTGATGTATGTTTGAGTTTATCGTAATTAACCTAAATGCCCCTCCAATATATATATATATAAAAGAAAACTTTTGATCGTACTTCATCTCTCATTCTAAAAGCTCAAATCAAATCTATCACAAAATTTAACAGAGATTGGTATATGCCTCAAAGGTTTAACATATTGTCTAATTTTGGTTACGTTTGGGACTGCTCTACTTAAAATAATTTTTAGTATAAAAATTTAATTTTTAAATTATAAAATTGTTTTTAAAAGCAATGAAGAAAGCCGTCCCAAAAGAAATTTTATGTATCCTAATACTTAATAAGGTGAATGAAGAAAATATCTGAATTCTGGAGAGGCTTCTCATCCTTTGAGCTGATGAGATTTTGATTAGCATTTTGAACTACAGTGCTAAGAAAAATATCTCTGACTTTCAGGATGAGCTGCTTTCAAGGCAAGTAAAGAATGTTTGGTGTGAATTAAGTTTCAAGATAATTGTTTATAAAAAATAATTAAATTTATTGTTTATTTGGAATGTGCTCAGAGATTAAGAGCAAATGGTTAGCCCATCTAAGACGTAAATTAGCACGCAAGAAATTTTTTTTATTACATAAATGATAAAGATTTCCTGTCTTCATTAACACACGTGCCACTAATTTTATGATTTTAAGAGAATTTGTGAGTTGGATGATAACAGCAAAAGATAAATGATAATTACACAAATATCCATCCCTCTCAATTATATTTATATATATGTCCCCATAATCATCAGCCTCACAAGATAATTAACCATCACTGACTAAATAAAACTTGCAGGGTAATTATACTTGTGTTAATAAAGTTCTAGATATGGCATGTATTAATCATTTGTTTTGTTAAATTAATCACAAAAATATCACTTTCCCTCATTCGTACCTTCCTTTTTGCATGTGAAATTTTATAAGATGATTAGTTTTATTTACTTATTTATTTGATATAAACAAATTTTTGATTGACTTAAATAAAACAATAAAAAAAATAAAAAACACTGAACATTAGCCTATCCTTTTAGGACATTAGAATGCTGATATGGTCAAGGTTTATTAGGTAGGAGTAGGGTTGTAAGCAAATAGAATCAAGCTCAAGCCACCTCTAGCTTGAGCACGATTAAATAATCTAGTTAGAGCTTAAACTCCAACTTTCTCATTTATTATAAAAGTGAGAGATTTAAATATTTATTATAATAAAATCTCCATATATGTATTTTTGAAGGACAAGGACAATGATGTTTCACAATAGGCTTGTGGTGTAAGTTTCTGTCATCGAATTTAATACTGATGAGTAGAAAGCAAGCTTCTTGCAAAGCGAGTGAGCGCAATAATCGACAACCAGTTTCCAAGATGAAGTGTTGATCGCATAACCCACCAACTGGTCCCCCACACCGTTACCATAACAAATAAAAAAATTTTCTAAGCTATAATAGCTCTCATAAAGGAGTGAAATTTTTGATTTTTTACCCCACCGCGCTTAGGTGGGTTGGTGGGCGAGCTTGGTTGGAAACCCCCCATCCGAGTTCGAATCCCCTCTCATACGGCACGACCTCTTTGGGGGAGAAAATAATTGTGGGTCCCACACCTATAGGGCTGGTTGCTAGTAGGCTCACCGCACATCACAAGCTAACATGGCAGCGAGCTGATACCCCCGTTCCAAAAAAAAAAAATGATTTGTTTAGGACTTTTTGACACGACCCGAAAATCTGATTCGAACCCGATCCAAAATTTTTGGGTTATGGTCAACTTGAACTCAAAACGAGTCGGGTTCGAATTCAACAATTCGACCCATTTCAAAAAATCAGGTCGGGTTCGGGTTGACCCTTTGACCTGAAATTAACCCATATTTGACCCGAAAAAATTCATTTTGACCCGGAAACTCAAGATTGACCCGTTTTAGACCCAAAAAGTGGAGATTGACTCATTTTTGGACCCGAAAACTAGTAGTTTTCAGTCGGCCATAGGTCTTTCGGGTCATGTCGTGTTGACCGGACCTGAAGTGTCATATTCGGATTGACCCGAATAGTGCCGGGTTAATTTCGGATTTGACACGAACCCGACCCGTGATCCGAAATTGACACCTCTTTACTGAGAACTTTGACGTTGACGCAAACTGCAAATGTATTTTATATGTGAGGTAGCTCATGCGGATTTCTCAGATTTATATATAAGCAATCCTGAACTAGCAAGATAAGAATAGTGTTGATTGAGAGTCAGCTTTTTTCCTGAAAGAAAATAATAATAACTCATTTCAGCCTTTCAGTAAAGAAATGTCTGTAAAATTAATTCCTTCTTGCCCTCGCAATTTGATGATCACATGATCCACCAGCAAGCACCATCTAACATGTAACTTTAGATTCTCTTTCCTCTTTGCATTACATTTATTGAAGATAAGCTTCTTTTTTGCCGCCTGTTATAACTCTCCTTTAAACCCCACGCCAAAAATGAAGTAAACAAATGAATGCATTCTTCTTACTTCGGTTTCCTTCTCTGGCTGCCGTTTCCATATAGAGTGCCCGCATTTCCATTCCCAATTCTTCTTCTTCTTCTTCTTGATGGGAACTCCATGGTGGAGTGTGATGAACCTTTCCATGGAGGACTAAAGTACTTCCCAGGCAAAAATTATTCCATGGAAGGTGAAAAGAAAGTTTCAGCACAAAAGAAACAATAGGAAGCAAAGAGCAAACCACAATGCACAAGGAAACAAGGAACAAGATCAGAACTGTGTTCAAACTGCAATTTCATGTAACCCAGGTATTCTATCTTTATACTCGGAATTCCCAGCTGATTCCCAGAACTGTATTTTGTCAGGGGAGAAGCAAGAAAGAAATAATGATGTGAAGAGAAAGAAAAATGCATGTGATTTCTGATTCGAATTTATATCATGAACTATAGGAACTCATCTCATTTTATACTTTTCTGCAGGTTGATCATCCAGGATGGGAGATTATGATGGTGTCTCTAGTTCCTATGGATATTGGAAAAGCAACAATGAAAACAGATAAGGTTCTGGTGATTGGAGGAAACTGTTATTGGAGGAACCCAATTTATGAAACTGTGAAACTCTTTCAAGACTCGAGAACAGGAAGAATCCATGACAAGCTTTACAATTTTGTTGTGTCGGCAAATGTATGTAATGACAAAATCAAATATTACACTTTTTTTTATCATCTTCAAAATTTTTTATTGATGTTCTAACCACATTTCTACAAATCCTCTGAACAGGGATCAGAGGCAGCTGCAGTTGTTGGAGAAGTCGGTATCAATTTATCAGATTATTTTGATGTTATTAAACCTGCCTATGTTTCTCTTCCACTCAAGCCAGCAAAATCCGGAGTAATCCTGCATGTGAGTATTTAACTTATATGATTACAAAATTAATAAACCAAACATTTGAATTTTTTTTGGTAAATAGAAGGAAAGAACTTCTATCCTTATAGTATTGATTTTTGTTAAAAATGGTAGGTAACAATTCAGAAAATGCATGCAGATCTAGAGGTAAGGTAAGAGGCTGCTTTGCACCTTAATTGGACTTTTATGAACCAGTTGTCCTGCTCAAATGTACATTTATCTATCATTTTATGTGATCAGAGGATCTGAAAAACTCACAGATGCAATTTTGCTGGAGCAGTCGATAAAAAATAAGCATGAATCAAATAAGTGGGAAGAATACAGAGGAGCAGCAGTATTGAGAAATGTGAGCTCTATTTTCCTTCTATTCTACCACTCCATTGAAGCGATGGGATACTTGTATTCACTGTGAAAGGATGCCATTAACGGGAAACACAATCGCTGATAGTTATTTTTGATGGAAGGTTTAAACGGAATGTTAGAATTGATTAAAAGAGGGATTTTATGTGGTATATTAGTAAATATATAAGTTTAGGTGTTAAATATGTATTTTCAATAGTTTTAAGTGTTATGTATGTAAAAATCCCTTAAGAATTAACATTTAGTAACAAGTTCGAAGGAAAGTTTGATGGTAATAAAACCATATTAAGGTGTTTGTTGATCAATTCATGACAATCTCTTTGCTTTTGATCATGATAGCATAAATCAGAAAGCATAGTGAATTTGATCCCATAGGAAAATCCAAATATCTTTGCATAACTTTGAAATACCCTACCAACTCCATATCAAAATTTCCAAATCTATTTGACATCATAGTATGATTTTATTATGTTGTGAAGTTGAGTATGGATCATTAGAACTTAGAAGGGCATATTTAATCTCTAGCTTTAACTTGTTTGAATTTTATTTCTTATTGCTTTGGCACCACAACTGCAGCAATTATTTGAAACAAAATGGACAGCAATGTAATAAGCAACTCCATCCCACAATAATATTCTGCATTCTTATCACAACTGACATCTACTAGCATACAGAGCCAATGATTTACTTTTATCCTAATCATCTGGCAGCATGGATCATCGGCAACCAACAGTCAAAAAAAGATATTCCCATCCAAAAGGACAGTTTTTCTTCAACCTGAATCTCGTGGACATATTGAAAAGTCTAACAGCTCCAGCAGCATATCAACATCGAGCTCTGATAGCTCAGGACAACATAGACCAAAAGATAACAACTCCGTAAGCCCGAATACTTCTAATGACTCGAGCACCTCAAAGAAACTCCTGAGCAACAATGGATCATTTGAAAAGGAAAAAACAATTTTAGATTATTTGATAATGGAATACCGTGATCATCAAAAATCAGCGAAAGACTGGCATGGCAGCTCAGCTCCTGATGGGGACATGGCTAATTCAAATAAAAGCTACATAAGTGAAAAGCTAGAAGGAAGAACGTATGAAACGAGTGCCCAGATAGAGAAATATAGAAATCAATCTATAGCACAGACACAGGAACTGGAATTATCAGAGTCAGAATTACAGAATCTCCACACAATGGAGAGCAACCGTTGGAAGATACTACTAAGAAAATTGAATAGCCTACAAGGAGAGAGAGACGCACTTAAAAGAGAATGTGAAGAACATAAAGCATCACAAAGGAAGGCTGATAATGAAGATGATCCAAATAAGTTGCATCCTCGCAGTAAAACCCCCTTGGATATTGAAGAAATCAAACAAGAGCTGCAGTATGAAAGAAGCATAAATGCAAATCTTCGTTTGCAGCTGCACAAAACGCAGGAAGCTAACTCTGAGTTGATTCTTGCAGTACAAGATCTGGAGGAACTGCTGGAACAGGAAAATAGAGAAACTTCTTGTATAAACTGTACCGAAATCTCAATCAAACGACTTACAGAAAATAATATTTCAGAAATAAACTTCAATGAAAGAAACTCACATCTGCAGGTTAGCGAATGTGAAGAGCTATTTGACACTACTTCAGATGGTGATGATGAACAGTATAAATTGGATTTCTTGGTCAAAAGGGATAAAGCAGCTTACTCACTGGAAGAGAAAATGGAGGATCTGAATAGCGAGATATATATTTACAAGACACAGCAAGAAGACATGCAAATGAAAATGAAGAAGCTTGACTTGGACCATGAGAATCCCAAACAAGAAAACAATAATCTATATTCAAAGCTTGAGCAAGCACAACCACAAGATAATATGGGACATGACAACTCCGAGCATTTAATTACTGCCAATTACCTTGAAGACCAAGTCAAAACCTTGAAAAAAGAGCTTCAAGAACAATCTAGAGCATATGAAGCTAATCTAGAAGACATCATGAAAGCAAAGCTTCAGGAAGAGAAGAGAGCCACACAAGCTGAGGAGAGACTACAGTTGACTATATCAAATAATGTAAACATTGCTGAGAAACTTCAAGAGGAATTTATAACACTTGCAAGAGAAATGTCATCTACATTTCACATAAATGAGAAGATAGCTATTCAAGCTCTGGCTGAAGCTAATGAAATGCAATCGCAGAAATGTCATCTAGAAAATCTGCTAGAGCAAACTAAAGAAGATTTCACTATGTTGCAGCATGGATATGACGTGAAACTCATGGAACTATCAGACTCCGTAGATTCCAGAACAAAAGAAATTGAAAGGTTGCTCAAGAACCTCAAAGCAAAGTCTGAGGAGAATGACAATCAAAAGAAATCTGAGGAAATAAAACTAAAAGCCCTGACAGAAGAAATTCTAATGCTAGAAACCAAGGTCAAAAAGCTATCAGCCGAGAAAGTTCAACTTTCTGAATGGATGGGACAGAACCAAAGATTAGCAACAGAGATGGAACAGTTAAAGATGTCCAATAAAGAAATTGAGACAAAATTACACGAGAGAAGCTTGGAAAAAGAGATGCTTGACAGCGAACTGTCTTCAATGAAGGGCAAAGCCACAGAATCAGAGAAAGATCTACAAAAACTGCAGCAATTGCTGAAAGACAAGGATATAATAATAAAAAATCTAAACGCTGACGTTGCGATGCTTAGAGAAAGGTCCCAAGTCTCAAACAATCTATTAGTTGAGGATGAGATGGAAACCGAAAATTTAAGGAAACAGACCTTTCACTTACAAAGTGACCTGAGGAAAAGGGATGAGAAAATTACAAGTCTTGAGAAAAAGCTCAAGGAAAGAACAAGCTCTGCAAATTCAAAAGCTAACGTGAAGATAGCAATTGAAAGTAAAAAAACTTATAAACCTGACTCAACATCCCAAGGCTCCAAAGAAGTTACAATTTTACATCAGAAAATTAAACTTCTCGAGGTACTGTTGAAAATTCTATGACTATAATAAGCAGCATAATCTTATAGTTGTATTCAATGTGCTTAAAATTATCTTGGTTTTTCTGCCTGACAGGCAAGTCTGTTGTTTAAGAACAGTGAGCTAGAGGAAACAAGAACCTCGTTTCTACAAGAAGAGAAGAATCTAAACCATAGGATTGAAGAATTGGAGAAGAAAGTTTGTCAATGCAAAAAGCAGGTACAAGCATATGATAAAGTAGAATAATGATGGTCTCTATTTTTTCACAAATTTAGCATCATCTCTTCAATCTTACAAGTTAATGGAAGGAAGGTAACATTGATTATGACAATATTTCCTTCTATCATGCTAAAGTACATTCAATATATTTCTCAAACGATTATAATTTATAAAAATAAAATACAAAAAGAAAACAATGAAAGTTATGAAACTCATCTTTCAAGCAAGGCTTGAAATCCAAGCCCAATTTCAAGGACATTTTTCTTGCATGCATTCCTATAGATACTATAAAAGAGAGAACAAAAAAAAAATACTTATTGATCCTTGACCTATTTTTTACATAGATGTTGCAGGAGATATCATGCCATAGAAAAGGTATATTAAAGAAGTATAATGTAGCTAACCAGCACCAAAGTGCATATGAATTCAAATGTAAATATTTATCTATCATCAGAAGAGCGAAGTAACAGAATAAGTATATATTATGATTTGACTTCGCTTCCCCATTCCTTCCATCTTCAGCTGGGAAAGAGGATTAGATGGTACATTATTGGATCAAATACGATCCCAAAACAAACCAGGCTCATTGAGATGAACAAACAATAATTCCACTAGTCAGTTTTAGGTGTGCGTGTGAGTGTACTGCTATCAGCAACCGCACTTACTACAATAAAAAAACTAATTCCTAACCAAGCCACTTTTGTGCGTGCTCAACCTGATCTGTTAAAACCATGAGAGACCGATTGTGCTTGATGTTTAACTTTCTTTGCCATCCAAATACCAGCTAACCAAATAATCTTTAGGTCTTATTTTTTTATAAGAAATTGCAAAGCAAGAGCTCATAACCATGTTAATGAAGGTTCAAGAGCACCTTTGAAACTCTCTAGAATTGAAGATAGTTATAAAATATCTATCAAGAAATTGCCAAAGTATCCCACAATATAGCAAACATATTTTCAATTTTTTTGAACCACAACATAAGAACTTTATTTCAGGACTAAGATCCACTATATTTCTAATGTTCAACTCTGTAGGTTAAGTATCAAACAAACTTTTTATGGTTTGTAGTTCTTGCATTTTTAATAGGAGAATTGAAACACATCCATTAATAATGGAATATGCATTTACTCATACATTTTGACGTAGAAATTGAATCAGAAACTATCATAAACCTTATTTCCTCTATTTAGGATCGACCTTATAAATCATCATTCTCCATTAATTCTTGATAAGTGCTGCAAGAGATGAACAATCCATTCCATCAAATGTTTTGCGCAAATTATATCCATGTTATATTTGGTGTAATAATTTTATATATCCATATTATGGGTTGTATATGAGCAAAAGTATTAAAGCTTATTTTTCATTGCCTTCACACAAGCTTATCTTCAATCAATACTACTACAGTTGTGCCTCTAAAACAATCAAACCTCAATCTATTCTTTGTTTTGCAATACATCTAAATTAACATTCTGCTTTTAGATGCACTAATTTCACAGGTGACTTTTTTACTATCCAACACCTAAATTCATACACCAGCTAGCCTGATTGCATTTTTTAAAAAATTAACCTTTATGGCTTCATGATATTCTTTTATTGCATAGTACTCCTGTGACTTCTTTATATTTTCACCGCCCAATTTTACCACTAGAAGTTATATCCCCATTCTTCTATAATAGCTCAAAAATACTTAAATGTATCAGGCCTAATTATAATTTTATCTTTTGTTAATATTAATAGATAGTTGGTAATACCATATGTACTTATATTAAAAATCATGTACTCAATCTTTATTATACTAAACATAACTCTTTTATATTATAAACCATTTATCCATTATTCTAACATTATGCTTAGCACAACAAAAGTCTCATCGATTAAATCACCATCTTAAAAAAGTGTACCAAAGCATCTTATTATCAATATTGTTAGTGGGCACCCCCATAACCAATACAAAAAGATACAGGCTTAGTTTTTATATATTCTATAATCCAGCAATAATTAGAGAATTTTTTTATCACATCACCTTCTAATATTAGTCAATTATCCACCAAACATATCATTAATAATTTCAAATACCCTTGACATGCACCTTTTTTCCAAATTGCATGCCATATTAGTTCTTATGTTACTTGCTCATAAGATGTCTCAAACTTAATAAAAATCGTATGATGATTTTTCACTGCTCCTTATACATCTTCATTAATTATCTTATCATAAAAAATTGCTCTCATAGTGAAATTTTTTGGCATGAAACTTAATTGATTCTTCAAAAAGTAATTGTTTTCCATGCTTATATTCTATTAGCTTCTAGCATGACTTAATTATATGACTCATAAGTTTTGATTCCACCAAAATTTTAAAAATCTTCTTTTTCCTTAAATATTGGTACCAAAATCTTTCATTGAAATTATTTGTTGACCAACCACTACTATATCACCAACAACATTCCAAATATCAATATTATCTTATCAAAAAACAAAGCTTTATATTTATGCATCTTATTTAGAGCAAACACAAGTTAACTTTTTTTGATAAATCTATGATACATCTGATTACTCATATACTCATCCATAAAGTTTTTTGCATAAAGCTTTCATTTAAGAATTTATCTTTTAATTTTTCTTGATGTATTCATCCTTAACAAAATTCTTAGTATCTTCGATTACAGTGCATCTAACCTGATCTAAGTCTTCATATTTCTTATATTTTCTCTTGACTATTTTATATAATTCATTTTCTTCTTTCTTAGAATCTAGCCTATTATATAAGTTCAACAAAGGTTGAACGAGAAATCTTACAATTATATGAGTCAACGTCGCATGCTAAATATTTTAAATTCAGTGAACAGAGAGTAAAATTGGAATCCTACTATGACTTTGCTAACTATGGTTTTTTTTTTTTTTTTGTAAAATGCAGGAAGAGAATGTCAAGCATAACCTAAAAAGAGAGAGTGCTCACAGTATCCACAATGAACAAACATTAAGGTAACCTTTTTGTTGTGATGTAAATTATAATTACTCAATTATCATAATTGCCTTTAACTTAAATTGTTTCAATGATATGGTCAATTCTCCTGATTTCCATTGATTCATAGATAAGAACTACATAAAGTAAAAAATAACTAGACAACTATAAAATCGTCAATTACTAAAAGCAATGCCTTCTACGCAGCACCCACATAACCCCTTCGCAAAAAAGAGAGGAGAAAGCTGCATCAAACAGCTACAATCAAGACAACTTAACTGAAATGTTAAATGAGATGATGTTGCTGAAAGAGAATAGCAAGGCTATGGAAGCTGAACTGAAAGAAATGCAACAAAGATATACTGAGATAAGCCTCAGATTTGCAGAAGTTGAAGGTGAAAGGCAACAGCTTGTGATGACAGTACGAAATCTTAAAAATACCCTAAAGACATGATAGAGAGTATCCTTGTTTTTTGCAAGCCCTTGTGTGCGCTATGTAGCATATGGCTCTGCTAGCCTCGTAGAAGTAGTTAAATAATATATATAACATGAATCCCCATTATACATTTAGCCATACAAATGGAAATCATCACATGAGAAGAATGTGAATATTCCAAATGACTTGACATGAAGAACTGGTTCTTTTAGATGTTCCATAAAAATATGTACGGTAGACATAATCATACATTTTTTTAATATACATATGCATATATACATGCATGCATGTATATATATAGGGATGGATGTTTTCCTCCTAGGAGGAAAATCATCATTCATCTCTATTTAGATTTTGATGTTAATATCACCATTCTTCTCCAATTATATTTTTATTTTATGATCCTTAAAAGTAAATCAAAACAATCAATTCTCTTCAAATCATTAAGATTATTGATTTCATTATTTCAAACTTTTAAGAATGTTTGCACGTGATACATATGATATCATGAATACCTTCTGTATTTCGATGCATTGATGGATGGATGATCAAGCATTCTTAAAAATGCATCAAATCATTTGCACTACTAGCTTTTATGATGTTAAGAGGATGGAGAGCCTTCATCATACTTTTGAAGGATATAAAAAGAGCATTTGAATAAAAGGAGAATGTATATATAAATATGCATGCATGTGTTTATATGACTTATATATTCTATATACTAAATATAATTATGCTTTCTCTTTCTTTATATATATATACAAGGTAAAGCAAATTGCCCATAGGCAGGCCATATTATGATAAATAATAAAGTTCAAGGTGTTGCCCTGGGTGATAATACCATGAGATAATTTGAATTAAGGTAATTTATCAAATAATTAATTTTAAACTTACTATTAAGAACTTTTCAATCTATTTTGTAATCCTTTAAAGAGTTAAATCATTTAAATTGATTCGTCTACTACAATACCTCACATTAAGAGTTAAATAGATCAAATTAATTCCTCTCTATAAGACTGCAAAAATTTGAAACCCAAGTTTGACTCGCCTTCAACTCCCACACATTGTGTGACTCACATTCATATCTAGCTCCCTGATCACTTGCCAAGACTCCCTTGTTGCTTTGTCCTCCTCCCTACTCTCTTTTCTCAAAGCCTTAAGCCTGACTTGCTTTGGTCTCCCTTGCATCAATTATATTGTCAAAGACTAAAATTGGACCTGCGCTGCGATCTTCACCACTCCAACTCACTAGCAACATCTTCTTTTTTTTAACTCACTAGCAACATCCTTCATCATCATAAAGGTCAGTGTATCAAAAAAACATTATGTATATGATTCTATAATGGGGGGTTTCTTTTTTACTATTGGCAATTGATTTCTAAGTTATGCTACATTTTTAAGAGGGTTAAAACCATAAGGTATTTGGATGTTTTTCTTTATCATTCATTGGAGTTTTTTTTCCTTGAATTTATATATCTATTTCGATTATAATTTGAAGTCATAATATAAATAATATCATTAGATATTTTGCATTTTGTGATTATTTTAACTTTTCTCACATTATTAATTTTGTAACATTTTTTTTCATGTAAAATTCATGGGGCTTACTCAACACCTCATGATAGGTGAAGCATCACACTATTTAAATTTCAATATTATGAACTCTAAATATAAATCTTAACCGGTCTTTCTCTTTAACTGAAATTAGTGGCTTGTGATGCTACTTCAAGTTTGATGTTACGAACTCCAAATATAAAATCATACCCACACATTCTATTTAATACATGGAAACTAGTGGTTTATGTGATTTTAGAAATTTCATTCTGAGTCACCGTAACTTTCATGTCATGTTATGAAAATCAATTGTTTAATCCTAACTTTGACAAACAAATAAAGGGATTCAGGGGGTGGGGTACTCCTCGAGATAAGCATAATGAGGTCATCTAAAAAACGTTGAAGTGATTTGAGTCAAATATGTTAATCTACCTCAACAACAATCAAAATTTTGATTTTAAACCATTATTAATGGCTATGAGCCAAATTCAATTTAATTCCTTAACATCATTCAAGATGCCAATATTTCCTCCCCCCCTTCAAATATTACAATATCAAAAAGTACCAAAGAGGGTAGAAACAAAGGAGAAATTGAGCCAAGAGGCAATGAACCCATCATGGAATATTTAGTTTCATTAAATCTATTGTTAAAGTAAAAGAAAAAGGAAACTCCAGTGTCAACAAAAACTTTCCCAATAAATACAAACGAAAGTTCATTCAAGTTAGTCTCTTTCTCTATAATGACATGGGAAATCTCTCAAAGTAACGATCAAGACAAACAAAAAAAACTTTTTCTTGGAAAAGGGAGGAAATGCTAGATGGCAGTGAACTGCGAGAGAGTTCTTCATGAGGAAGGCAAAGATTTAGGCCGAGACATGAGGATTTTTTGTTTGATGGAGGAAATAAACTGAATGCCCTCTTGTGCTAAGGAAATCAGAACAACTTTACGGGAAATTTCCTAATTAGGCCAAATATATTCTATGTTTTAAAAAATATGTCCAAAATTTTGTTTCACATAAATATTGCCATAATTGAATTTTCACATTTTGGACTAATTGCCTAAATTTGGATTTGTTTAATCTCCATTGAAATGACTTAATCCCTCATTAACTACCCTTGACCCATGGTTAAGTAGCATAATCTTGGGTTAACTTGCTGATTAGATTAGCCTAGGTTTCTAAGCACTCACCTCACTCAAGTAGCTTGGTCAATTTCAACGCTTAGGATGGTTTGGTTCAATTGGACATAATTAGGTCAAGTATGATTCTTTAACCCAATTTGACCAATACAAGGGGTCAAGTGTGGTTCACTCATACATATTCCTCTAAGAGGCTCTAAGGTATATTGGGTTAGCCAATTTGAAGTTTAGGAATCAATTGGTTCTAGTGGAATCAAATAAGTTCAAGATT